CCACTAGCAAAAACATGTGGGGTTTTATCCACAGCAGCTTTAGAAATGTTCTCTGCTCAGTTTGGCGCCAATGATCGAAGTCTGTTGTTAGCTGGAGTTCGCACAGACGTCTTGCCAGGTCTGCCCAGAATACTGTCTCCTTTGACTTCCTGTGGTCTTGCATAATATTTCCTTGCTGTTTGTTATAACTTTGTGCATTTGCTGAAGCTGCCTCTGATGCTAACAGAGCACATTAAATGGCTCAGGCTCTCAACCAAAAGGTCGGATCCTTTGTGGAGCTGCCATGGGTCACTTCAGGTGACATAATTGGACTGCTCACGTAGATGACTACTGTTTGAAGTTCTGAGACTGATGAAGTCTTCCCCAACCTGGTACCCTTCTGATATATCTGATTTTGGTCCCATAAATAACAGCGAGTCTGTCACCTTTTGAATTCGTGGATGGAGACCATATCCTAAAGGTACCAGTTTAAGGAAAGTGGATGTAGACCATAAGAGGTAGTTGTAGAAACATGCTTTTCATGCAGAGTTGAATTCATCCGCTTTCAGATGCCAACCAGAAAAGACTTCAGATGTACACAATCTATGATAGAGCTAACCTCTCATAGACACTCTCAATATCTAAGGAAATACTACATACTTTCTAGGAAATGCTACATCACTATCAAACCAGAATCGATCCACATATCACACTAGTGGTAAAAAATGTGGGTCTGGAGAACCCTTTTGCATTTCTTAGTATGGGGCCTATTGCTTTGGCCTTTTTTTAGTGGGAATATGTGGGATAGGTTGAAGGAGCAAAATGAGTGCCCTAAGAACCCCAAATGGGCTGCAAATATTTAAAACACGGATTTCACCACTTAAAACTCCTGATATTCCCTTAAAATGAGTTCAACTAGGGAGGATAGCTAGAGCATGCCATGCAAAGCATAAAAGAGCATACAGATAGTTCTTTACTTACAATCACAATTGGGACCAAAATTTCCATCGTAATTTTGTGCAGCTATAATGTGAATCATCATGTGACTGGACACAATTTTAGGACCATTTTTACTGTGGTCATTAAATAGGGCACCATGATCAGAGGTGGTATTCATCAGGTTCTGAACAGTTCTGGAGAACCGGTAGCAGAAATTCAGAGAACCAGCAAATACCACGTCTGACTGGAGATTTTAGAGTATCCTTCCCCTGCCATGCCCACCAAGCCATGCCCACAGAACCAGTAGTAAAAAAAATAGAATCCCACCACTGATCATTACTCAAATCGCATGATTGTTAAGTGAGCCACATGGTCATTAAGCAAATCTAGCTTCTCCAATGGAAGCCATCTGAGAAGGTCACAAATTTTATCCTGTGACTTCAACATGCTGCACCCGTCATAAATACAAGACAGTTATCTTGTGTCTGAATTGCAATCCTATGACTACAGGAGTGATTATCTTGAGGATGGGTTGTAATTTTGAATCATTGTTAAACATGCTGTTGTAAATCAAGGACCATAACTGTAGATACTGTGATGGGATTCATAATTAATTGAATCATTTTTATTATGTAAACTAAAGCAAATTGGGTTCACATATTGCAAAAAAAAAAAAGAATAATGGTTTACAAATATTAAAGATTCAGCTTACATATTAAAAGAAGCCAAAACCACATAACGAATGGTGCACCAAAATGAATCAATAAATGTCCCATTGAAAAATAAATGCACAATGAATCAAACCAATGCATTTTATTTTAGTGGGGAATCGATGTTCTTTTGTGACAAATAGATAAATTTGCATTGCATACAGTCTGGACAGAAAACTTTGCCAAAGTTATGGCACTTCTTGAACTATTTCTACTTTGTCTAATCTGGGACAATTGCAGAATATTATGAATATAATAACGAGGAGGCAAAATAACATGATAAAATAATAATTTAAATATATATTCTGTGAACTTAAACTTGGGAAGCATGCCGCAATGACAAAACTATGCAGCAATGGCAAAACAGTATGTGTGTGTGTTTGTGTGTGTGTGTAGACAGACAGACACTCATACAAAGGCTCCCTAATTTTAAGCAAGTATATTCCCATATATACAATCTATTATGCAACACAATAAAGCATTTGGATTTACTAATCATATACTGTTTGATTTTAAGGGGGCCTAAATACTTATAAATATTGCAAATTAGCAGATGTATTAAAAAGGGAAGTCAGAAATTTAATAGCTTTCTTAAAAGCTATTTTTTATTCTTTGCTTTTTTATTGTTTTAATTTGTTGATCTTGTTTTGTTCTTCTACATTTTCTTCTATTAACATGCACATGGATGTACACACAGACATAAATATATTTACACACAAACACACAGAGGAAAATATACCAAGCAACAATACACAAAAAATGAAGTGTGTTATATAAATATAACGGTAGCAAAATAACACAATGTTTAGAGTTCTGTACTATCATAATAAAAAGAAAACAGGAAAAAATAAATATATTCTACGTACAAAATTAAGTTGAACTAAACTGCATGACTATGACAGATACCAAACAACTCATTACAGTAATACACCTCCCTACTTTGGTTTTCTGTTAGGTGATACGAAGGCCATTGCATCTCTTAGAAATTGCTACACGTTGCAATAATTTGCTAGTTATATTCCTTTGAAGGTTCCATGAAGCATTTTGTCTGTCAAGAGCTATTTTATTGTTTGATTCATTGCACTTTTGAACCACCTATCTCCCTCAAAGAATTATATTTTATATATTTATATATTGAGTGTTCTTGGATAGTTATCTTTACAGCTACCATATTTGCATCACAAAATTCAGATGACCACTGGATGGCAGCAAGTATGCCTTCTTTGTTGCCATCCAGTTATCTGAATTTTTGAAATCTCAATTCTGGTGGTATTTATTAATTTATAAATTTTAACATGGGTACCCAACTCACACACTGATTCTAAGAGATGTACAATGAACCATAAGCAGAGGATAAAACAATTCAGTTAAAATTCAATCAAACATTAATAGATGACCAGGAACTGACATCCATGCCATACTCTAGACAGGGCAGATTTTAACAGGTTTATTTTTATTTTTTATTTATTTATTTATATTGTCAAATGATTATAAGATAACAGGTATAAATATAACATAGTTATGAATACATGAAATGGATACATATAAGAAAAATAAAAATAAACAATAGGACAGGGACATAGTAGGCACATTGGTGCACTTATGTACGCCCCCTACAGACCTCTTAGGAAAGAGGTGAGGTCAATAGTAGACAGTCTAAGGTTAAAGTTTTTGGGGTTTGGGGAAGAAACCACAGAGTCATGTAGAGTATTCCAGACATTGACCACTCTGTTGCTGAAGTTGTATTTCCTGCAATCAAGTTTGGTGCGGTTTACCTTGAGTTTGTATCTATTGTGTGTTCTTGTGTTGTTATGGTTGAAGCTGAAGTATTCATTGACAGGTAGGACATTGCAATATACAATTTTATATACTATACTTAGGTCGGACCGAAGGCGGCGTAGTTCTAGGTTTTCTAGGTCTAGAATTTCAAGTCTGGTGGCATAAGGTATTCTACGAGTAGAGGAGTGGAAAACTCTTCTTGTGAAATATTTCTGGACTTTCTCAACTGTGTTAATATCAGATACATAATGTGGGTTCCAGACTGATGAGCTGTATTCAAGTATTGGTCTAGCAAATGTTTTGTATGCTCCAGTTAATAGTGTGATATTACCAGAGAAGAAGCTATGTAGGATAAGGTTAACAACTCTTAATGCCTTTTTGGCTATGTAGTTACAGTGGGCTCTAGCACTTAGGTCATTAGAGATGAATGCTCCAAGGTCCTTGACAGAGTTTGGATCATCAACAAGGTCTTGACTATTCAGCTTGTATTTTATTTTCTGATTTTTTTTGCCAATATGTAAGACAGAGCATTTCTTTGTTGAGATTTGAAGTTGCCATTTGTTTGACCATTCTGATACATAGTCAAGGTCTTTTTGGAGGGTAGTAATATTGTTTGTGGTGTTGAATAGCTTTACATCATCAGTGAAGAGAATGCAGTTGCTCTTAATATGATCACAGAGGTCATTTATGTAGAATATGAAGAGAGTTGGTCCTAAAACACTGCCTTGGGGGACACCACTGTTGACAGGTACAGAATTTGATAGGACGCTCCCAATTTTGACTATTTGTTGTCTGTTTGACAGGAATGCTTCTATCCAGTTATGAAGGTGACCAGAGATACCATAAAATTTTAGTTTTAGGAGTAGTTTGTCATGTAACACTGAATCAAAGGCTTTACAGAAGTTTGTGTAGATTGCATCTATTGCTTTATCCTGATCGAGTTGTGTAGTCCATATGTTTTTGCAGTGTAAGAGTTGCACATTACAGGATAGTTTTTTCCTGAAACCAAATTGTTTATTAGAGAGTAGGTTGTTTGTCTCTAAGTGGAGGATAATGGATTGGTTAATAATTGATTCCATGACTTTACAGGTGACACAGCATAAAGAGTTATTGGCAGGCAGTTCCCAGTTCCAGAATTTGGTGTGCTATTTCATTTTCAATACATTTCTTTGCAACTTGAATGGCCTTCTGCTCCTCCTCATTACAGAATACAGATCTTGAATGGCCTTCTGCAAAGAACTGTAGCAGCTGCTGTTCTGCAGGATTATGCTGGCAAGGTAGAAGGGAAGGTGGGGTCACAATGATATTACAGGAATCACTAGGGTTGTTTCAATGTGTTTAATTAGTTTCATGTTTCTGTGGATGATACATAGTCTAAATATGCAATGGAGCAGTGGAGGTTATATTCATAGATTTATTTAGGTTGAGAGCTGGGGCTGCTTTTACTTCTCATCACTTTTGCCACTCAGCTGCTTTTTGGAGCCAACGGCAGAGATGAGAGGCTGCTGCTGGCCCATATCACCCTCTGAGTACCTGTGGACTGGAGCCAAATTTTAGTCTGATCCCAGATAAAGTCAAGACGGAGAGGGTAGTGAGTTAGCAAGCAGCCATGGCTTCTGCTGGTCTTCCTTAACATTGTTGAAGTTTCCTCTGGCCAGAGGGAGAAGATGGCTGAGCAACTGGGTAGGAAGAAAACAAACAAACAATTGAGGCTGGGGCACAGGTAAGATCTTCTAGCCTATTCTTTTCAAAATCCACCTCTTCCACAAGGCCTTTAATCTCCCCTTGTCATTCTCTTGTAAAGTAAATATTTATATAGGTGGAGTTGTGCATGTTCTTCCCATGTTTCCTCCCTTCCTCCCTTTACACTGTGATTTTCCCTGCTTGAAAAATTCATACTGCAGTTCTCAGTTTGCAAAGTAGCAAAGTTCACATTGCTGAATAAATCTATATGTATGTCAGTTAAATTCAAGCAACATTCTAAAGCTTATGTGAAATTTGATATTTTGTTAGGTATAAGTAATGGCAAATTCAGCTTTTTTCTTTACTTCCCCAAATTCTACAATCATAATTGAATCTATTTGTTTAAGGCAGTAGTTGAGTCAATTAACTATCAAAAAATAATTGAATATATTGTTTAACCCCTTAATATTTGGGGAGGAATTCTGCCGTGAATAGGGAGGTAGTTTAAATTCTTTGGGATTATTTCTGTGTACTGTATTTGAACCAATTTTAACCACTGCTTTAATAGGAAGAATGGGTGACTATTTTTAAACTTCTAACAAAATGCTCAGGTTTGGACTATGAGAGAGGCTGTCTTTTTTTGTTGTTGTTGTTACATACGATCTGTTTTTAGATTAATGCATAGCTATTCAAAGTAATCAGCTTTCAAGGGTGAGGAAACACCCATTCTTCTTATGTAACAGTAGTATTGCAGTTTATGCCAGTTCCAGTTAGTGCAAGTGTCAGGTCTCAGAAGCAAGAGGTATTGGGAGGGACATCTTGATTGGAGCTTCATGTCTCCATCCCTCTGCTGTAGCCAGGTCACAAAGATACCACTTTCCACCAAAGGCGGGCTGTAGCAGATAAGTCTGTCAGAACGTGTCTGAGCTTAAAGATAAAAGGGGATGGGTTGCTAAATGCTAGATGTTTTCTGCTTTGTGGACTTCTGTCTTCTCAGTGTTTAAATTCTTTATATCTCCAGTGTGGCTTTCAGAAACAAAACTTAAAACAAATAACAGGTTTTTGTTGCTATAACAGAGTTGAACTTTGATTGAAATCACCCTGGGGTTTAGCCACATTCTCCTCTATTTCGAACCTAGTCATTGAATAACTGACATTATATTAATGGCAAGTAGACTTCTAAAGTTGAGTATAATACTAGCTAACTTTAAAAACATATAAAGGCCGCAAGAAACATTTTCAGGCAAAAGGATATAGTATGACAGACATAACTATCTATCCTCTAGATTTGTTCTACAACAGTTCCTTAAATCAGGAGTAATTTGGGCATAATTGCTTGTTTGTGAGTCAAGGATCAAGTTTGGGAATGTTGTTGCTGAGACGCTTGTGTAAAACAATAAAGTCAGTTATTTTGTTGGGGTAATGACATTATTTCCAACTGGTAAAAGGGATAGTGGGTTCCTTTAGTTTAGAATGACTTCTAGAGGGCCTTTCCTCTCTGGATCAATTTATGTGAAGTGCTCAGAGAGTTGCAGAAGGGATGAAGAATTTTTTCTGATAGAACCTTGTATGGGTAGAATGTCACATTTAGACTCTATCTTGTGAATTTTATCACAATAGCACAACTTCGTCATATATCCTCTTCTATTGACACCAAAATAGTAATACAGTAAAGCCCCATATGTTTACATAAAAATACTTTTAGTTTTTCTAATTTTATTATTCATAATAATTGGCTTGAGTGCAGTGACAGTAATTCCCAAAATCCCTATTCCTGACTGGAAACACTAGTAGTTATAATCCCAACACTTTGGAGGGTCTAAATGATCCTGCATGGCTTAAACAATAATATCATTGTTTGAATTTGCGTAATTGATCATCCCTTTTTCAAAGCCTGGCAACTTATACAACTGAGAAAACCAGTTTTAGAAAAGAATTTGCTGATTCCCCCACCTGCCTGCTTTTAAAAATCTAAGACTAGAGCTAAGGGATTAAAGTAAAACTAGAGGTTTTATTTTCCTCACTCACTCCCCAAGTTATATTTATGAACCTCACATATTTTTATGGCTCCTGACATGATTTAATTGTCTATTACTAATAGAACATGGTATCTTGACAAACCAGAAAATAGGCTAGGCAACGCTTTTCATGCTTCTTATAACACAGCACTATTGAACCTTGTTTTCCACCAACTGAATGCTAAGGAAACTCTGACAATCCATATACTTCAGTATATGGATTATTAATTTGACAATTCCATGCAGCGAAATGGGAGGAAAGCCAAGAATAAGCATGCCTGGAATGCCTATCTGGCATGAACTATGAGCTTATCTTCCTCTTACAGACATGGGTAATGCCTTTGCTTCTGATGGATTATGCTGTACACATCCACAGCTAAATTGAAATAATGTTTTTTTATGTTTGAGATTTGTTTAGTTCTCACATCCTACACCCAGGAAAAGAGGACTGTATTGCTGAATTTTATAAAATATTATCTACCATTTTTGATGGGAGATGTGTGTCACCTCCACGTTATTGTAGAACACAGTTTCGAACCATGGCAATTTTAATATCTGGGATTTCAACTCCCAGAATTCCTCAGCTGACATAAAGTTGCCAAGGTTGAGAAACTCTGCTATGGAGGATGTAAAAGTACTGAGTTATTGATTCTGCTATAATATAGTTCTGGGTTGACAAGCAATCTAATTTTTTAAAAAGTGAGTTACTGTCATTCCTGAGGCATGCTTGAACGATGAGCCTAAAACAGCTGGACAACTATGACAACTTTCTACACCAAAAAAACTGTTGAAAAATTTCTTTCACTGAGAAATTTTATGGAAATTCCCAAATTCATTGTCCTTGCATATAATACACTAATACTTTGCAAGTGCGGTTGTGCCTAGATCTACCCTTTGGGAAATGTAGACTCCAGAGATCATGAAACATCATCTCTGAAGAGGAATGTTTTGTCTTTATTATCTCATCTGAAGAATTCTGAAAAGCTTAGTGGTTATATACTGCTTTGTAACTATTAAATTTGCCTAAATGAAAGTATTTTACTGAAATGGATTTAACATATTTTCTTATGGTTAGCTCAGTAGCTTGTGTGATCTGAAAAGTTTTATTTCTATTTAACAGATCAGGCAAAAATTAATATATTAAAGTCTTTATTAAGAGAAATTCTAATTTTGGATGTAGTTTGAATCCATAGTATAGTCAATGAATGGCTTCCAAATTGAAATAAAATTCTATACTAGACTTACAGTACTTTCTAAATACAATTGAAATCAATGATATAGATGCATATTTCCACAGTTCAGTTTGCTATTCTTTTAAAGAAGAAATTAGATGTGATTTGTGATAAATACATGTATATTTATCACAATTCCTACAATTCTTATAGGAATATAATATTTATTGATGTTGAACAGAAAAACAGCTGGTAGAAGAGAGAATTCAGAAGGTGATTTTATGTTCCTAAATCCCAATACAGTTAGGATTAAATTTTCTGAATGGTTTTTTTTTCTAAGAGTTGCTACGTTATGATTTCTAAGATGTATATATTCTTTCTTGATGAAGAACCCAGTTTTGGTTCCTATTTATAAAAATATATTTATTCATCTAACAAACTGATCCATTTGTCTCTACTTCTATCAAGAATCTTGTGTGTCTTACCTGAAGATTGAACTTCTGAATAACATCTAGATTTGATGCAATTACATGGAAGGATCAGCCATTCTTTATTTCATCCCAACAGGCTTAAGAATAATTCATATTCCTGAAACTGTCACCTGAAAAAAGATCATAAAATTGTGTAGCACTTTGTTAGAAACGTTTGAAAATCTAGTCTCCTTTCACTTTTCATTAGATTGCAACTAGAAGTAGAGTCCATGATTTCAGCTCCAGCACTCATTTTCCTTCTTCATTTCTTCTTTTATTTATTTCCTATTTTGATGAAGTGTTGAGAACATGAAACTTTGTATTGTATTCTATGATTTTTTTTAAGTGAGAGGAATCTTAAAAATATATTTCTTAAACAGGAGTTTTGGGTATAAAATAATTAAGAGCAAAATGTTCAACATTTCAATGTGTTATTGGCTTTTTGTGCTGTTGTATTGAATCACAGTTTAGGAAATTTAGGGAACAATTTCATAGATTCATAATTATAATACTATAATTAATAGTACTCTGTTAAGTGGTCACATTTTACTTTCCCTTTGCATTGTGAAATGCATAGGGGTGTGTGTGTCATGTTGGCCCACTTGTTTTCATGATCAGCAAAGTAGTATCTCTGTTCCTTGGCAGGACGAAAAATTTTAAAAAATGCTCTCAGTGAGGTTGCATTATTTGATGTAATGGGAAAACATAATAGTCTTTCCCCTTTTCTGGATTTTACATCACTTCTTATATTGTGTCTTAATCTGAAATAAGAGAGCTCTGCATTCTTTAAAACCAGTGAGACTTTTGTGATAGTGGGAGGTCATTTAACAGATTGGTTTTCTAGGCCCTCTGCAGTGACAGTGAACGCACAAGGACTTGCTCTCATGGGATTGTCAGAAAGGAAGAGAGTTTGTTCTGTTCTATACAGCTACATGATGGGATCTCCGAAGGGACAACATGTACACCAGGCATCCTGACTCTTTGGGAAAGCTTTGACTTTTGATCTCAATGGATAATGAAAAGGATGGGGAGGAGAGGAACTTAATTTAGATCCAACTACAGTGTGCAATGCCAGCTATAAGCAGTGCAGTTTCTCTTTCTTCTTCAGCCAAGATTTTTGAGTTGCGGTAATCATATTTTTAGGTGCTTTTGCTGAGTTTTAATTGTTTATAATGTATTTTATTGTAAGCTACCATTTGTACCCCGTTGGTAAAATGGGTAAAATGGAGAGATATCCACTGAAACTATTATTTCTTAAACAGAGCTTTTAATATTTTATTTATTTTCTACCTTTGTTATTTTTTATAAATAACTCAATGTGACAAATATGCATAATGCTCCTTCCGTCTCCTATTTTTTCCGACAACAACACCACTATGA